AAAAAAAAAAAAAAAAAACCGGGGGGAAAAAAAAGACCAAAAAAAAAAAAAAGACCATACAGGAAACGTTCATTCTTTTAGAAAACAGTTCTATATTACTTACAAGTGAAAGAAAAAAAGGAGGTGGGGCGGGGTGGGGGAGGGGGTGTTAACACGATACAAATTCCCAACACTCAATATTTCACCTCTTGACGGTGTATTTCTATAACCATTAAGCTCCGATCTCCCCTCTCTTTCTAAGCCCCTCCTGTCCCTCCCACCCATCCATGCATCATTACAGTGCTCGTTCTCTCGGCACAGCACCTCCTCTGACCGCAGTCAGGGCTGCGGGAGTGCTGGGCCAAGAGACTGGGGAGGGAATCTCTGCAGGAGGAAGAGGGAGTTTATATGTGGAGACCGTTTGCGGAAGGAGTGACGAGCCCCCTTCTAGCTTCTGTCAACAGTGTGGGGGTTGGGGGGGGCTCGACGGTGGATGTTAGTTTGCGCCCCAGTTGTAGCTGTTGTATGCCGACTTGTTGATCTGAGACTTCTGCTGAATGGAGGCGTTCTGGCTGCGCTGTCCAGTGCCGCTCTGTCGAGAGAAGACAGGGATTATCTCACACCACACAGACACATGCAGTTTTTTGTTGTTTTAAATCCAGGACCAGTTCTATTCATCATTTGTTTAGTTGTTTTACCCTGCATTTATAAACCTAACCAGGGATAGGGGCTGCAAATTAGCTTCAGCTAGAGACTCACAATGCATTAGTTCTTCCTATGTTTATCTGTATCTTTATTCAATGTTTATCTTTAATACAGATAACTACAAATAATGGAATCTGACACTTTGTTTGCTTTACATTTGGATCCTTCATGAAGATAAGTACAATCATTTCACAACTATCCTGTTTGATTTGGTTTAAACAAACCAAACAAACTCTGGTGTGGACTAATCAACTGGACCGAGACGAGCTGATAGGGAGTCTCTGTTGGGGCTCACTTTGGTGGATTTCTTTTGTCATGTGAAAGCAAAACCGACCACAGTATTTTGTGATTGATGCAATTTTGGCATGAATTCAAAACCTAAACTAGTTTCAAATCCTGAACTGTCATAAAAAGTTATCTCATCTGTGTATCTGATTAATATATTTATGCAAGATCTTTTGGTAACCATGGTAACAAGTATATGCAGTGGTTTTCCCTGATGCACCATAAGGTTGACAGGAGTAAAACAGGTGTGCTAAGGTTTTTGTCCTACTCTGTGTATTTTGGCAGCTCCTCATTAAAAAGCGAGTGAAACACAGTGCCCACACAGGAACTTTTCCCGCTAGTAATAATAGGGTATACAACATCTCCTTTTTGTCCTTTTTCTACATGTCAGTCAATTTTGCAGCTGCAGTCTCAACTAATAATGCTCATATTTTTTAGTTAGCCCTGCGACAGCAGAGAAGACAGATGAACACATCATTTTATAAAAAAGGAATACTGTCTAGACTTGCCTTTTATGAAAAACGTCCTGTGAAAACTTCTGTTATGCTATGGTGTAAAGAAATTAAGTTTAAATTGAACAAAAATGCTGTGAAGTGCTGTGTGATCTGCTGATTTTCTCCTCACAGGTCCATGTAGCGCAACTGATGCAAGACGGTAGTCACTAAAACTGTCCAATGAATGATTATCGTTGATTATCTTTCAGTCCATGGTTTTGTGATAACTCCTCTTAAAAAGTTTATAATGAAATTGTGTGAACACCAAACAAACCAGAGCTACGTATCCGGACCAACTGAAGTGAACCACGGGTGTGAAAGTGACCTGCCCCAACAGATGGAGACAAACAACAACAACAAAAGCATGTACAATACCTGTCCGTCCTGCTGCAGGTGGTGGTGCAGAATCTGAGAGTGGGGTTGTTGGTGCGGTGCCAGGATGTGCATGAAGGGGGCCGGGGCATAGCCAGCAGCAGCTGTGGGGTTGATGGGTCCCCCGCTCCCCAGAGCTGAGGGCAGGCTGAACGAAGCTGCTGGCGTGCCAGCATGGAAACCCTGCTTCTCAAACGACTGTAGGAGGAAACAAGATAAAGACCAGACATGCAATTATTGCTTGATTCTAACTATATTAGGTCAGTCTCAGTGACTGTCATTTTAATTTTAATGCAATTTCACCATACGCATGGAGGAAAAACAGTCCTTTCCAGTGAGAAACGGCTTGAAATATTTATCTTAACATTTATAATCTGTAATTACCTGCGTCTTTGTGTAAACAGACCCTGAAATATCTGGTACGCCCGTGTTGCTTGATGTCACAGAGACTCCTGCAGAGACAGACAGGAGACAAAATTAGTCCAAAGTCTGGAAACTACATGTAAAGGGGACCCACCAAACAAACCATGGCCATCCACATGGTTATATGAAGATTCTAACCACCATGATTGCTATACGGTGTACTAACAAGTCCTATAAAACTATAAATACTTAATACATTTGTGGGGACACTTTCTACAGTTCAAGCATCTGATAAAATAAAATCTTGTCACTTAAAAACAAAAGAGAATCCTGGGAAATTTCAAGTCTGAACATCTATGCCGGCATAAGTTCATAGATGATTTCAGCACAATTTCCCTTTAATGGAGGACAGCAGAGAGAGACAGGGTGAAGAGATGAAGAGGGATGAGATGAAGAGGAAGAGAGGTGAGAAAGATGATGTTTGCAGCGTATCAGTTCCAGTCAGCCACAGTGGTTAAAATCTGACTGAATCTGGTGGTTACTGCTGTGGTTCTGGCACACACTTTGTATCGCCATGGAGACGCAGAACAGGGTCAACTCATGTGCAAAACAATACAGACACCGGATAAGAAGGACTCACTCTTTCAAGACTCAGTTCGAGTAATATTACGTAAAATTTTCGGGCAAAATCTGTGAGCGAGGACTGATCACATGACAAAATCATCCTAAACACAGTGCAGTGCATGCAACAGCATGAAACATGACTTCTAACTTCTTCTTGTAAGCAGAAATCCATTTTTAGTGTGAACAACCTAAAAGACAGAGCAATGCAAAATTACTCTATAAACGTGGCACTTGTGTTTTGAAAGGCTTTGTCCAAAACTGCCAATATCAATGCAAATGAAAGACATTTTAAAATGTATTGTACAGAGTAGGTCTGCTCTAAGCCCTTTGCAAAGATGGAACACTGCTGGCTCCATGCATGTATCTATTAAAATGATGGTGTTATTCTTTGTCAGTCAGTTACACAAAGAAATATTTGGCCTCAGATGTCATGGCAGCGCTAGAAAAGTGTAGTGAGTTGGAACGTTAGAGGAGCGGCTTGCGTTCATTTACAGGCTGCATCAGTGGTGGATTTTTAAAACTTATTTTGCTGTTGGAACCTTAAATTATTTCCATTGTCAGACTGAGAGACGCTTATCCCCGCGTGCTGCTGTAGTCTTTAAGTTAATCTGAATTCAGACTTGTACCGTGCTGTAAGTGTTACAGAAATGTTACTAGATCCAAGCGAGTAAGACAGACATGACTTTTACAAAAAAAGTGTCTCTGGAGCTTATTAAGACATGAGACCAACATATAATTCCCATCACATTTACACAACGAGGTGTATGTCTGAAAGAGTAATCAATAACAAAAATTCACTCATAACACACCATTGTTTGATCAGATAATATAAAACATTTCCCCCCCCCCCTTCTCTCTTGGGTTGTAACCTACGTCACACACAGGACAGCGAACTTGATACTCTGGAGACGGACATGCCAGCAATGACAACATGAGTGAAGAGCAAGCAACACAGAGGGAAAAATGGGACAGCGTCAACCAGAGTAACTCATCAGTTTATGGCGGCCACAGCCCTTGTGACCTTTTTTTTTTACTTTAAACCTGATAATTACGCAGCAGAACTGTTTGGAAAATATAAACCAGATTGGATGGATAAGTCGCTCTGGAAGAGAACAAACAACAGACAGAATGGCAGAAAAGGCTTGTACGAGACGCAGGCTGCATCGGGCTGTCTAAAAGCATATGTAGTGTGATGGGTCTTCCCACAGGCACAGCTCATCGGTGATGAGGCAAAGGAACGAGAGCAAAGAGGGGGGAGAAGGATGGTTGGTGACACAAGGAGGAAGACGGGAGGGACAGGGTTTTTCTCTTTCGGTTTTAATTTGGCATGTGGCGGCACTCACCGACTCCAGGCCCGGTGACAGAGCTGGCTGGCTTGTTTTGTGCAGAAGCGGCAGCGGCCACGGCAGTGCCGTATCCGCCCTTACAGAAATCCCCACTCCCTGAAGCCTGGCCCACATCCTCATAGCCTGCAACAGTCAGACACACAGCCGCAGCCCACAGCGTTAGACACACCAGGCAGGGGAAGCAGACCTGCCTCAGATAGCATTTGCAAATAATTCATAGCGTTTGTTTGAAACTGTAGCACATGGACAGGTTTTACCAAGTTGTGACAATACAAACGGTGTCAAGTCCTCTAAGGAAACTATACGGACACTGTAGTTATCTGAACTTTGACACCAAATGCATTGTCCTTTGTGGCAAAGCCTGCCCATCTGGTACAAGAGGGTCAGAATCAACGCCAACATCATTTGCAAGTACTATTTGACCCAAGTCTGAGGGGAGGAGGAGGGGGGAGTGAGGGGGCAGGCAGGGTGTGTGTGTGGGAGGGGGAGGGTTGGAGAGTGAGCTTGAGTTGGGTGATTGCAGAAAGCAGCAGATGGTGCAGCTTAGAACAAATAGGTGTCGCACATGTAGTGACCAAAGGTAGATGTTGAGTGATGAATGGTGAAATTAAAATACAGTGTCGCTGAAAAAGAAAAAAAAGAATATAAAGTGGTGGAGCAGATACCAGAAGGCCACTGGGAAAATATGAAGCTGCTGAAAGAAAGTGGGATAAAAAGGGGAGTCCTAGGGAATTATGGGAGAATGATGGTTGCACCATTTGTTGATGTGTTTAGGATGAATGTGTGTGTGGGAGATGTGGTGGAAGGTGAAGCCTCGGGGGCAAACTCCACTTCTGAAATGAGCAAAGCAAGCTATGGAAGACAGGAGACCGATAATCTAACCCCTCTGTTTTTTCAACTGGTACAGCCAGGTGCCATTGTTCACGCCCATCTTTCCTTTACCATTCGGTTTAAATGGCAGTCCCATAAATTCTATCACAAGAAGCCATTTAATAAGAGTGACAGTCATTTTCTTGCCATTATAAATACAGCTGCATTACTGAGGCCTGTTCCCTGGGTGTAAGAGGCAAGAAAAACTGGGTACAAGATGCGGATGCATTTCCAATATTCTGACACAACTGAACCTGCACATTAAGTCATGCTCACAGTCATTGTCATTTGAAGACATTTTGTTCAACTTTGAGGTCAACAGTTCAAATGAGCATCAGCAGACAATGTCTTATGAACCGTTAACTGCCCTGACACAAGCATAACAAACGTCTTTAAACAAGCATCACGTTTATGCTTGTAGATGCTGCAAGAGCTCAATGAAATATGCACTCCACACCAATGAGAAATCAATGGGCTCATTGTGAGAATCAGCACAGAGTTATTGGTATGCAAGTATACAGAGCAGCACCTGCATGACCCCTCTAAACATGCCGTTTCAATATGGTTTATTGCCTCACCAGTGCTGTATCCATGGGAACCATAGCCACTAGCCTGCTGGAAGGGTGTGGCTGATGCATTGACGCCGACATTCACACCGTGCTGCTTTGACGAGGTAGGAGCCACCTGGACAAAAACACCACGACATGTAATGTCAAACTGAGCATGGGGGGGAAGAAAAAAAAAAGTTTGTCCTGTTGGGCCAACAAAAATCCAGGTTTCTCATTCAGGAAATAATTTACATTTAAATCAGAAAACAATCTTACAGTGTCACCAGAGGAAAATCATTGCTTTCTCTGTCCATTTACACACACATCAAATTTCATTTGCTAGCCACCATTACAGTCCTCCCCCTGTCTACACCCACACATTTTCTTCATGATATTATGATGCGTATGTTTCTTATGAAAATATATTTAATATGGGGGGGGGGGGGGACTCCAGGTGCAAGTAGGGTTGAACTGAAGTTCTCTTACCGGAAACACAGCAGGTCCGTACTGGAACGTATTGGGCAGGCCTGGCATGCCAGTGTAGTATGGGAGGCTCGTGTAGCTGTAGCCAGGCGGCAGCGCGGGGTTGAGGAAGGGCTGCTGTGTGGTGTGATGTGTCTGGGTCTGGTTCTGTTGTGTCTGAGCTAATGTGGTGGCTGGAGCTGGGGATGATGCATCACCTCGACCAAACTTTGATAAGTCGCCTGCTAATAGGGGAGAGGGAGGATGACAGAAAAAGAGTGGGAAGTTACTAAAAGTGTGACCAGAGATAGGTGCACTGTCATCCTGCTAGATTCAGTTTCTATCCACAATCACAAACAACATTTCAGAAACTACCCCACTACATTTTTTTAAAACACAATTACTCACTGACTTTGGAAAAATCATGCATTTTGTTGCACTTTTAAAAACAACCTGTCTTTTAAACAATGGATATTCTTGAATTTTAAATATAATTCAACAGAATTTTTTTTTTAATAAATAATAAATAATGTAATATGTGCAGCTGCATCATTGACTTCACGTGTCCTTTTATCTGTTTTTTTCTCACTTTCACTATTGAACGTGCTTATTGAACAGCAAAACACGGTCAGCTCTGGGCACACACAAAACACACAGTCATCACTGCAGAGAGCCAGTATATGCACTGCAAGCGGATGCTTAAGCTCTCCAGTGTGTAATGACCATCCCTTCCTGCTCTCTCAACAGAAGTTAACTGTGTGCATGGACATGCGCTTGCTGTACACACCTGCGTGCCATGTGACACCTTCAGCATTAGCCGAGTGACATATGAGACAAGCGGGAGAAGGAGCGGTGGTAGAGAGAAAGCCGGTGAATGAGAAAAATAACAACCTGGCAGAGAGTGAGTTTGGGTGGGGCGAAAGCATACCGCTCTAAATGAAAGGTAAACAAACTGCTATGCGGTACAATAGTTATAATTTTGATTATCTGTTTTTCTATAATCGTTGAAAGCCAAAATCGTAATTTAAAATATAATTAGATCACCCAGTCCTAGATTATCATACAAAATGTGGTACACTAAAGCTTCTTTACAACAAAAAGCTAACTGCTGAACTGACTGTCAGCTCAACTTTTACATAGTTGTTAAGAGGATTGCTCACCAGAGTAAGGGTTGCTTGTTAGGCTTCCCTCTCTGCCAGTCAGTGCTGTTGTGGGAGTTGCAAAAGGGATGCTGTAATAATCCTGGGGAGAGAAAAATATTTTTTATAGATTAAAAATACAGGCCATGAAGCAGTGAAATGTGACTTGTTTACTGCATAATGTTTTTACTTCAGCAGTTTGAGACTTTTCACAAAACAAAACTCACCAGCGGTATTCTTGTCTGCAGCATCTGTAGGTCATCATAGCCGTACACCTGAGGCTGAGCAAAGGAACAAAATGTAAATTATAAAGTATATAAATTATATAACATTAACTCTGGAAAACACAGGTAAAGTTCAGATTGTACAAAGACTGCCTTGACCCTGGCAGGAACCTACAGGGTAGGCGTGCAGTAGTCCAGGAGCCATGATGTATGGGTTGGGCAGTAGAGGGGGCACTCCGGGTGGCAGGTTTGGAGGTGCTTTCCCTGCAAAGATAAGGCCAAAAAAAAAAAAAAAGAAAAAAAAAGAAAAAAAAAAAACGTTGAAAAATGCATTAACTTGCCCAACAAACCAATACCAATACCAATATCTATTACCCTATGCACTCTAATAATACCCATCTTTGCGAGTGTCAAATCACAACTTAAACTACAGAAACAAAGGAGGGCTGCACAATCAATCAGTCTCCCTGAGCTGCATCAGTAAATGACGGCAATACAACACGTGACAAACTTTGCACCGGCAGAGGGAGCAGAGGAAAACACAAACAATGTGTGTGTATGTAAGTGTGAGAGAGAGANNAACAGATTACTCTCCTCAGAAACACATTTTTTTTTCTGGGCACTTCAGAGAGAGAGAGAAAAAAAAAAAAGAAGCTTCAGACAAACAACCAGACTGAGAGCAAGATGCGTCAGAATCATGGAAACCCTGCCTGTGAGGAAACTGAAACCAATTTATCCAGCTCCAGTTCTGACAAAAACAAAAAGGGTCACACTGTTTTCTTTTTTATCTTTTGTTTTTTTAAATAGGAGATGATCACTGTTAAAGCACATACTTCCCAAGCAATCTGTTATAGATACACCATTGTGGGGTAAGGCCACAAATTTATACATAGACCTGAAACAAGCCACAAATATAATAATTAGATAAAGCTACAGAAACCTGCCAGTAAAATAAATATTTAGAATGACCACACAAACAACCACCCCTTCAGTTCCCCTTCATGCTCTTGTATAATTTTTTTGTGTTGTTCTACATGTTCTATTAACACTGTGGCAAATCACAGCTGAGGCAGAATTGCAGCAATGACAAATTTATGATGAAACAATAGTTTTTTTTAGAGACCAATATGGGCGTTAATATTCCACAATTCCAGTCATATAGAAAAATTGTACTGTACATATGTTTTAAATGGCCATATAATAGCAAACATTTAAAACAGCAATAAAACACACAAAAAAACCCCCAAAACAAACGCTGTGACCTAAATACACTACTGTGACGGAAACGGGGGAAAAAATTGAGAAGGATGATGGAAACTAAGGACAGTTCTGACTCAGGTGTTATCAGCTCCAGTGTTACAGTAAATGCTGCAAAACTCTTGTTTATTAATCTGTTAAATCTCTTGTTTAAACAGATGTATAACAGTGTCTCTACATGCCATGTCATTTCCTCCTCTACCGTGCTGTGTGATCGACTCTGCTGCACTTCATGGAGAGCCCTTAACCCTTGGTTCACACCGCAGGCTTCTACAAGTGATACCTGCAAAAATTCTAAATATGCCAACTATACTCTGGATGAAACTTAATTATGGATGCATATATAACCCTCAGTCCACTTTACCACCAAGTTATTAGAACTGTGAAGCCCTGACACCAAATTACCAAGGCTAACTTAACTCACTGGTAATGCTACCTGTATACTGACAGCAAAAATTAAAGTAAGCAGACAATCTAAAAGGGGAAAGAAACGCAAAAATATTTCCAAGATTAGGATTATTAACTGTCTAAAGAGGAGTGGATTTCTGTTTTGTGCTTTTGTTTATGTCTCACCTGAGGATGCTGCCGAGCCACGTGAAGATGAGGAAGTAGCTGAAGAAGGAATCACTGAGCCTGTCGTAGAGACTGAAATAGTGGCGGCTGCTACAGCTGGGGCACCCATGGAGGCAGTATTAAGGCCCATGGCCAGACTGCTGACGGGGCCAAGGCCAGAGGGGGCTGACACTGTGGCAGAGCCCACTGTGGAGGCCTGAGGGGCCCCTAGTGACACCTGCGCAGCAGCCACAGAGGAGGAGGGGACTGATGACGGCACGGCTGAGACGGAGGAAGGGAAGGAGGAGGAGTGCAGGCTTGAGTCACCGTCTACGTTGGGATGCTGTAGCGACGGAAGGAAGATGAGAAAAAGATGCGGTTAGGATTGATGAGATTACATTTCCATTAAAGTGAATAGACATCTAATGTGTCCATCTGCCATCACAGAAAATGGGGCTTTGAAATTGCTTACAAGATGGAGAGATATTACAGTCCTGCATAAGCATGTACATACAACTCATAACTGCGTATGCTAGACTGCTTGTTAAATGGTCATAAAAAAGAAAATAAATACAGAAATGATCATTTAAAGAACTCACCAGTAAGCTTGAGTTGGATGCCCGGACTGAAGATGAAGCAAGGCTGTTCTGTTGTGATGGGTGTGAGCTATAATAAAATTAAAATGACAGACAGGTTCAAAGCATGTCTCAACTATCACCAAGTTTAGTGATACCTTTTTTAAATTAAGAGTGTTAATTTAGCTGCATCTCACTTGTTGTGCTGGGGAGGGGGAATGGTGCTTGGAGGCAGGTCTTCGCTGTGCCCCAGAGCGCTAAGGGATGTCTGATTGGATGCAGTCAACAAGGAAGCAGGGCTGTCGGTCAAAGTGCCCATGCTAGAGACAGATGCCTGTGTGACTGAATCAGAGGCCGGCTTGACTGATACTGCAGAGCCTGCTGCAGCTGGGGAGACACACAAAAAGATTTCTGGAATAAATTCCAATCCAAAAAAATAAAAAATAAAAAATAAAAGTGCACGTGGCAAATATCTCACACAATTTCAACAATGCTTACAAGAAAGAAAAAAAAAAAAGAGCTTTGTAAATTACCTTCCACAGACTGTGTTGCTTGTATCGAACTGAAGCCATTCTATAAAAAACAACAATGAAGGTGAGCTCACAGGTTTCTATGGAAACAGGCCATTGATAAGAAATTGAAGGGTGTTGGGCTCTTGGAAACTAAGAAGTTTTTATATGCCAAACATTTAAACTACAAGTAAGATTTTAAACTAGTGGTTCACTAAAATGACCACAACTTAATAAAAAATAAAAGCTTGAGGGGAAAGAGTAACACCATGCACACCAAGTATACATTTTATTAAGAACATCTGCTCCCTTCTTAATTTTAACACCTGAGATCGGGTTAATGATCTCTGAATGAGTTTACAGATGAGGAAGGGATAAAGGGGGTTGACCCCTGAAACATGCATTCTACATAAAGGCTGCTGAATTCAATACTTGAGGGGGTTCCTGTGACTTCTATTCATGCAAACTGTGTGGAGCTCTGTATTCAAGTTTGTAATCAGACAATCTCTTAGCATTAAAAAGATCCAGTGTGCAACACGTAAGATCTATAGGCAGAAATTGAATACAATATTGTAGCATATGATCACCTGAAAATAAGAATGGCTGTGTTCTTATTACCTTAGAATGAGACATTTTTATCTACAAAAGGGAGAAGGGCCTCTTCTACGGAGACCACCATGTTTCTCCTATACGTTGGTTTCAGTTGCATGTTGTCCACTCTAGCCACTCTGAGTACTATACTAATACAACACTATATTTTGTATGTTGTATCAGTTTAGGGGAAAAACATGGAAGCTTTGGTCTTACCTTGGGCTGCATATCCTTCTGAGGGGAGGAGGAGACTGAGGGAGGGTAGCGTCGTGTCTGAGATGCTCTCTGATCGTAAAGGTCCATCTGGCTGGAGTTGGAGAGAGCTGGAGTTGACTCACTGCAGATTGTAATGGTATTGACAAGAACTGTTTGATTGTGTTCTTAGGGAACAATAGCTGGTTCTGACTTTTTAAATGCTAATTTTAAAGCATTTTAAAGAGTAGAACAGCACTCAATCACTACTACTACCACCACCACCACTAATAACGTCAACTGATGGTACAATAAAATATTTAACATAACATGTCAACGCATGTCTGTAAAAAAAGTATTAAGGCCTTCAGACCGTTCGACACAACTCTTAACAACAGCAATTTGTCCAGCAAGGTGCTTTGCTATCAAATGATGTGGTCTAAATAGGAACTTTCTCACAAATTGTTCTTGAGCTGATCACAGTGTGTCTTCACAACACCAGATGTCACCATGCAGGACAATGGCAGAACATTAAATACTGTTGGAACACCTTTGAAGAGTTGTGTTTTGGTATGTACCAACCTGCTAGCGCTAGTGTAGAGGCTGTTCTGAACTTGGTTGGCTGGTGTTGCAGTGGTTGGGGCGGACTCATACTCTGGTAGAACTGGTTCTGACCCAAACTGCAGCGCTCCAAACTGAAGATTGAGGCCTGAGATGTCTGCTGAGCCAGGCATCTCTACCGCCATCGCAGGAATCTGATGAAGATTAAAAAGTTACAAGATTTTAGACTTTAGACCCAAATACACACGTGTGTACATTCATGCAATATGCTACTTATGTAAACATGAATTTCTGATGCGACCCTCCCATCACTCAAAAAGCAACAGTCATGTCAGGATAAGTGGATGAATGTATAAATTATATTGTGTACAAGTTATATTATGGCAACGAGCATTTTGAGTAGCATTTGAATACTTTCTCAAAGATTGCCCATCCAGTATTTTTTCAAATTGTTGTAATTTCAATTTAAAGGTTACCTTTGTTGTAATGGAGGTCCTCTTCTTCTGCTGTTTGAGTTTGTGCTGCTGCAAAGGCAGTGGACTCTGGGCATCTGAGGAACTTGGGGAAACTTGCGGACCTAGAGAAGGAACTGCTGCCATTTTGGGAAGGGAGGAAGCAGGCGGAGGCACCACATGGGGTGAGGATGTTGTTTGTTGGGGTAAGGAAGAAGATGAGGAGACAGAGGAGGAAGGAGGCAGGCCTTTGTCCTGCAGGAAAACATCCAACATGGACGAGGTTGAGGTGGCGGCCTGGTATGGCTGCCGCTTTGTAAAGGGCGTATGGACCGCGGACTCTGGCTGAGTCTTCATATCTGGAAAATGGAGAGGGGTAACAATGTAAGAACGGAAAGAAACCATGTGAGTAGTTCGGACTGCTCTCCACTGAAAAAAATCTATATGGAATATATCAGTACACATTATTCTTAACATGGTTAATGTTATGGATAATGGATTGAAGGATAGTTTCAATAGCAGTATTTATTTTGAATAAGAACTTATAATATATCACAAAGTAACTACAGTAGGATGTCATCTCACCGTATTGCCCCAGTGAAGTGGCACTGGTGTCCCAGGATGAAGGGGTTGTGTTGGGAGGTCCAGTCTGGGAGTGCTGGGCTGCCAGCTGGGCCAGTGCCTGGGCTGTTTTATACTGCTCCAGGAACTGAGAGCCAGTGGTCCCTGTGCTACCTCCTTTAGGGTCGCCCACATCCCCGAAACCCTTGCTCAGCATGCTGACCTGCAATAATGGCAGAATATGACACACTGTTATCCCAATAATGAAAATACTGGTACTGCATTGGTGCAATTATGACGTGATGTCAATGGCTATATCCTTTTCCTGTGTGGTTAGGAAGAGTATATAACCACATCATTTTAAAAATCTTAGTGTTTCTTTGGAGAGTCTCACCATGCTGTGCTGGGTGTAAGGGGTGCTGGAGGATGTTTGGGAGAGTGGCACCCCTTGCTTGGAGTTGCTGAAAACCAGTGACTGGGACAAGGAGGGAGGCTGGGTGGCCTCCATGGGGGCGTTTTCTGTCTCTGAGGAGGAGGATGGGGGAGTCTTCCCCAGGAGCACCGCAAGGTCAATCCTATAGCAAAGTGAAAACATTATTTATGAAAAGAAGACATTAAATGTCATTTCCACTATGAAAACTAATTATTTTGCTATTTTTTGATGGATTGATTGTGGTTAATTGATTGAAATTACTTCAAGAAATTCAAAAGGAAAACAGTCAGTCATATTTGAGTTTGCTTGCTCTTAACCGATCAATTACGTTAATCAACAAATCAACTAATCATCATTTAAATTATCATCAAGTTAAATGCCAGGCTGAGATTGATATGTCAAGTCCATTTAATGTGAACTGAACCAACAAAAGTCACAGCTCCAGTTAAACAAGTTACACCTTGCAACTGTAATTTTCTCTCACCCAATTCTGGGAAAAAAAACTATTTGCTGAAAAGCATTAGTCGGACTAATAAGGTGCCTAAGTTACCCACCTCTGTCCTTTGGTGATGGTAACATTCTCTTGAGGAAGAGGCATGGACGCCACACTGGAAGCTGTAAATATCTTGGTCTCTGAAAGCTGCAGAGGAGGAGAGTGTAGAAGTTATAATAGAGTTACAGGTGGAGGAACAACATGTAGATTTAAAAAAAAGGGATGCAGCCTTCCATCAGCAAAACTACCCTAAAATCTATTCTGATTTTCTTGCTCACTTAATGTTATATTTAGAGTTTCAAAAGCTGCATGAGGTTATGCCCAGAATAACTCACATCCTCATTCCAGTCCTCAGTGCCCCATTCCTCTGTGGCACTCCTCCAGGCACCTGCGAGTCAAAGAGAAACAGTTCAATACTATTGTGATGGGCAAAGACAGCTTCAAACTGAATAAGGGATCCATAAAAAAAATAACAGAAGTGAAGGCAGGTTTACCAGGAGCAGAGTCAAACTTCGGTGGGTAATTTGTTCCCTCTCCTGCAGAGTATTCCAACCCTGGAGACAAAGAATGAGGTGAGGAGATCAAAGTTGAACGTAATGAAAAGAGATGATTATCCTTTAGCCACCTGGACACACAGACAACTGGATGTAGAGATCTAAGACAATATGTCTGGAAATCAGATATTTAAAAAAAAGTGTGCATGCTTGATGACGAAAGCTCCCACGCAGAGCATAAAAAAAATAAAAAAAAAGAATGTCCTTTGAATGCAAGTGAACCTTTCATCTTTACCGCAGGAGCTTCTTTGAGCTGCTCAACATGATTTTTTTATTTTTTTTTTATTGTCTGGATGGTAAACAGGTGTTTCGTTGATAAAATTAACTTCTCTTATTGGAGGGTAACCTTACTGAATAAATTAACTTACTAGCTCCCTCCTCCAACTCCACGCTTCCTGTGTTGTTCCAGGTGCTGCCCCCCCCATAGTTTTCTTCTGTCTGGGCTGGCTCCGCATAATCGGCAGGGTTGAATGTTCTGGAAAAGAAAGTGATAAGAGGGTTGAGTTTAGAATTGGGTGTATGTACTGACCAACAGCTGGAGGGCTGTCAGCCAAAAAACATTAGCCACAGATGGGTGCCCACACACAAAAATCTGGGGTCCATTTTTGAACTTACCTTCTACAGGTCAAAGTTTGAAAATGTAAAGAAGCAGACCCCAGTTCAATTATTAAGAGCATCAACCCACTAGTGATGCCTGCATATTGCCGTACTGTTTGAATAAATCCTCAGCACTGCTGTTATCATTAGGCTTTTAAGCTAATAGAAACACTTCAGTATGAAGTGAGTGGGGTTGTAACAGGATGACAGGAAGAAGAAATGATAAAGTGAGACCATTATTGTCTTTGAGAGTTTGTGCAGTCAAGACATGCAAATGAGTAGGTTTAAGTATTTACTGATTTGGTTGTTCCTAAACATTTCTTTCCAGTTAATGCATGTCTATCATTAATCGGATGCATCTGTATAAGCTGAAAAATTTACAGCTGGTGCAACCTAGCAACGTGATGAAGTACAACACTGTTTTGCTTTCATTTTTGTCTAAGGTCCTTCCTGTGCAAGTCTGAGGGCATTTATTGCTTGCGTGAACAGATTTAACATAACATTTCAGGAAGATCATATCTTTTTTACATCCTATTAATAGATTGAGGAGTAATAATTTCTATTTTGATAATATCTTGTATTAAATAATTCTGTTTTATGGCACTCAAATGTCTCCCTACAGAAAGCAAGAATAACAGACACACCAGAGGCGATGCACTCACCTCTCACCTCCTGCAATATCATATCTGGGCCCCTTATCAATCTGGCTTTAGAGGAAAAATAATGGCAACAATTACAAGAAGCACAACAAATTAATAATAGAAGATTAAGCTTTTGTTTTTCAGACCACAATCCAAAGCAACAGCGTAAGCAAAATGCCTTCGATATGCCCGTGCCAGTACTGTAAGACTCTACACCTGTCAGTCACTGTACAATGCAAGGCAAGCCAGTGTGCTTTTAGTCATAGTGGGTAAATACACAGTTCAAAAAACCCAAGTCATCACAAGTATATACAATGCAGCAACAAACACAAAGAACTGTTGCTAGATGAGAGCAGTTATGCAAGAGTAAATGCAGTAGTCTTTTCATTGACGCAGCTTACGCCTAAACAATCTCAGGAATGTCAATGGTACTTTCTATCACACTAACCCTAAGCACCTCAGTCTCCACCAGAGCAAAACTACACTTTTTAAAAACAGCCACGTCCTTCTTCATTAACCATTTTCAGGGGGGTTTGTATATACACTAACATCGAGAGGGCTATATGGATACAACAAACCGGGACTCCCGTCTCTTTCCTTGGTTTCTTTCACTTGGATACAAAAGACAGCTAACAGTTACCCCAAAGAGGCAGCACTGTCAATGAGCCAACTAATGCTATGGTACGTTAATACAACTGGCTACATGATGAATGCATCTCCTTCAGACCAGGCAACATCAGCGATGGTGGAGGTTGATATATGCAGCCTCATTATATGCTGCATTTATGGCCATGGATGCCTATTCACATTACTGTATGAAAAATGACTATTTGTATTTAAACCCTGATTTTATTCAGGGACATTTATTAAATACTCAAGCAAAACTATCCCCATTGCCTAGAAGGTGAAAGACTTGTCTTTTAAGCACTATAGTAAAATAAGAACAAAAAACATTTCTATTGCTTCAAATACTATTATGGTACAATACCAAACACTGATGACTTCTTTAGACAGCGCTGTATAACTGGGAACAGCTTTAAACATCTAAAGATTGAGTATCTTCTGTTCTTGAGATTCTTGGAACAATAAAACCATAATTTCCATATCTAAAACATGTAAATCCATTCTGAATACCAGTGCTACCAGTATCAATGTAGCCTTAATGAAGTAGTAATAACTTTGCTACATGGGCTTTGCTTAATGACACAGGTATAACGCAACTTCCATTTTCTTTTGTCTAGAGTTATCCAGCTAGCATTACCCATCAGACCAATTACGGTACAGAATACCTCCTTATTCCTCCTTTTGGCCACAGAATGAAAGCGGGAGTGAATCTGTGTCTGAGATTCTTGGAAGCATTATGTTTTCTGCATCTACAAGCCACTGTTTAAAATTTCTGTCTGGAAACAAAAACATAATCTGCTATATTTGACTAAAAATATATTGTTCCAATCATCCTAGTCATTTAAGGTGTAGTTCTCCTTTCCCTTTTGGGCTTGCATTTAGTTTTAGTCAGTGGATGCAAACTAATTTTTAAGCATAGTATGAGTACATAAGGGGAATGGTAAAAACTGCCTTAGCATCATCTTAAATGTACTTATTGGTACAGTGTGCCAGTGAGACACACACAGACACACACACACACACACACACACAGATCAAAAGACCTTATCTGCTTTAAGACAGCTTCCTCTAAAGCCACGTGTTTAATTTAAGTATGTGTTTAACTGACACGAAAGCCAAGCTGGTAAACTGTATCTGCCTGCAGCAAGAAGCAAAAGCAATCACAGAACTGTTGTGTGGAGTAAAGTGGGGGGTTAAGTAACATGAAAACACCTCAGCTAGCACTGCATGTAATTGCAGGTGGGAAGCCCCAGCACTCAGCTCACCAAAAACAAGCTTGTATTACCACCAATATGAAACAAAGCATACTGTTGTGTTCCGTGAGATATGCAAGTCAATATCTGGGTCCACGCTCTGCAAATATACTTAAATTGTAGGCTATTTTCACAGCATCAGAGAAACGCGGACCATAAAGACATATGAGGTTTTATAATCTTACAGTTTATGTGCATCACCACTTGAGCAAACATCTGTGGATTGCACAATAACACTAACTCAGGTCATGCCTCTACCATCTACAAATATATATTTATGGCACAGTTACAGTAGCTTTAAAGTACACATTTAACACTTTGTTTTAGGAGGAGTGAAAATTACATTCAGGCGTCTCTTGGGAGGAAGCTACTCAGCTCTTGCACTCGCTAGAGAAAGCCACATTATGTCACATGCTACTTCAGCAGACCCCAAAATGATTTAAAGATCTAGAGCAGCAGAGTAACATAACATCACACCTGACGGTTCATCATCAAAGGCAGGAATTTCTTTTCAAGTCTTACAACAATTTCATTAAATGACAATGAAATGAGTCAAGAAGGTCACCACAGTTCAGAGAAGTACTTCCTCTGTTATGACACCTACTAGTCAAGCTGCCAGTATAGATGCAAACTCATCAACTGACAGATCATTAACTACACACAAAGACACAAACTGACACAGAATTAGCAAAATACAAGGACCAGGACCAGAGAGCAGAGACCGTTTAGGTTAACCAAATTGGTCCTTAAAAACCCTTCTGAGTGGATTTACTAAACTTTCACTCTACATAAAATGTTTAGACACTGTGCACTCTCTGAAGAGAGATATTCAGCCCACGCTGTTCTCTCCTATTGGCCGATGTATGTCCTCCTTCCTTTGGATTAAAGCTAAACAATAGACTGGGGTCCTGCTCTCTGGTGACCATGGCAACAGGTAAAAGTGTAACAAAAGGCCCTCTGGTTTTAGGCAACGCAGGTGTTCCCTTACCCCATGCCCTGCGCCGAAAATCTGCCTCCTCGCCGTCCAGATACTCCTAGGGAGGCAACAGGAGCCCATTTCAGTTTCTTGGTTTTTGACAATATTATCACAAGAAGAACGACAGCTGTTAAAGTAAAAAAAAAAAACACTTCCTCTTTCGCTCCTCGTTTTGATTAGATACATTTCCTTCACCACTGAGTTTGTCCAAAGTGGATTACAACCACTTACCGACAGACCCTCTTCCTCGGCCTCTTCCCCTTCGGCCTCGCTCTGCACCTCTTCCAGCTATTCCAGCCTTGCTTCCATCCAAGCCATTCTCCTGACCACGGACTTGAGTTAATAAGAGAGAGAACGACATTAAATGTAGACACTACGCTGCATACAGATGTCAAGATAATCGCTTAAACTAAAATGTGTTACAGTTCAGCATGAAACTATCAAAAATTGTGGTACTGTTTGAGAGCCTGAGTAGCCCTTCATTGAAAATTAAGATGAATGATGTATAATTTACTGTGGCACACACTGTCCCCCTTCAGGACCTCAGTTGGGCTAAGAAGGGTCTAATGGTGTGCTGCAAACGACTCGACCGCACCATAAGAAACGTGCAAGGAAACAAGAGCTTTAACATTAAAAACTAAAAACCAAATAACTGCTTTGTTGGCAGAGACAGGAACCAAAACCTCAACCTTGTACCCTTTCCTTTTGAATAGACCTTGAATAGAACACTTTACCTGCATGGAGGCAGGGAATAATGGAGCTGACCTATGAGCTGTTGATCTCAAAATCCAAACCAAGATATGTTGTCATGCTACCCTGATTAGTTTAATGTGCTTTCATGCAGGTGATGTCAATAAACTGCCTTTTTTTTTTTTAAAGAATCCCCATTTTCTTCGACGATGAAATGATCCCATGTTGTAAATCACAGCACACATGTTGCAGATTTAACGAAATTGGCTTGTGGCTAGTGATCAACTACTAACTACAATAGAGTTGTTCCGGTACCAGTACCACAAATTCCTCTGATACTGCCTAAAATGTGGTATCGTATTGGGGACTATGCATATTTGTGCACCAATCCAATAATTGATCCGTTCAACATAATTTATTAGCACTGGAACTGGACCCCGCTACTTCCAAGTGAAGCCACAGCAAGTTGGTTAGATGAAGAGCGCTAGAGAACAGCAGTCTAGACAAACTTTCCCCTCTAACTTGTCATTTGGACAATGTGCAATTCCTGTTGTACAGAAAACACTCTGCCTGCATTACACACTCTAGTCAACCAGTGGAAATTTGACATGTATGTTATATGAGTGTCAAAATCAGAGAGAGAAATGGTGATACCAGAAAACCATAAAAACAGTTTGGCTATATTAAATATCTATATTTTCTAAAGATATAACACACAACTGTAAAGCCACAGTAAAGGAATGGTAAACACTTACACTCTCGTCCCCTGCTGGCTCCGCGGCCCTTGCGTGGAGCTCCACCTCGGCGACGTGCTACATCTTTCTCTCCTCCTTTCTCCCTGTTTTCTTTTCCTTCCTCTCCAGTCTCTGCCTGGCTAGTCTCCTTCTGGCCTGACACTCCTTTCTTCTTCCCCACCATTTCCCAAGAGTCCTTAGGAAGAAATAAAAACAGCATTACACGCTTGTTCCTTTAAGTCAATGTACTGCTGCACTTATCGACTCGTGAAGACAGAAAATAACCACGGAAGAAAAGTCGAGGTCAATGTATGTGCATTTGTAGACCACTGGCATAACAACAGGACAATGTGCCTTGCCAAAATATGATCGAAACTTGATGATCGAAATTTGGTCAGTTGGTAAAAAAAGAAAGTTTTTGACGGTCTTACAATTTCTCCCCACGAAGTAAAGTCTATATATGTCTGACTGCTTCCAAGTTGGCAGCAGCTACTTTAAATTACAAAGTGAAAACAAAAAGGAAATTCTGTTTCTCTTGTCAGTAATTTCCCAGCAAGCCATATTGAAGTAGCTCACTTTAAAGTCCCTCCACTGAGCCTGCATCTTGAGCAGATAACCCCTCATCAGGTCTGATTAACGTGCTGGCAAGATGCATCTCCACTCTCTGATTTCAATGCTCCATATGTTCCACTAGTCTACAGTTCTATCAAAGCTTATATGATTGCTTGCTTTCATATGCTGCAATTTGTTGTTTACTATATTCACTTCACTAATGCAGTGTGACAGTTATACATGTGTGAACAGATTTTTTTTTTCTTAATGGGTCAGTGAAAACATACAGGGGACATGCAGAAGTGACATACTGGCCAACAGGGGAAGTAGATAATCTGTTTATGATTACCATCTTTATGAACCTTTTTACAGCTTTATCTAAACTAGGAAAGCCTGTCTCTGTGTTTATACCATGTTAAATCTTAAGAGGAGCCCTAGCCCCAAACTGTTTGTCCAATATCAGTTATCTAAGCCGGTGTGGCACTGATTTCTCCAGAATTTGGCCCCAACAGGGCTAAGCCCTCACACAAAGCCAATACTCACAGTGTCTGGGCTACCCTCCAGCAACACGTTAATGGCTCTGTTGACATCCCCGTTGCAATCGTGCAGTGCGATCATAGACTCATCCTGGTCCTTGCCTGTGATGTCAATCAGCTGGAAAAAGGTGGAGTAGCATGATGAGACAGAGGTCACCCCTGGCTGACACTTCTCATTTATAAAAAAGGTTCTTATGTGGAAATTGTTTTTTCGAAACATGCACACATCAGAACACAGGGCTAGCTACAGAACAGTGTGGCTGCTACAAGCAAGGATTCAGCACCATGGTCACTTGAGTAGCTTCAACACAAGGCTCATTTCCCATAAAGACTGTGAGACCAGCATTAATATAATGCAATGAATGCTGTGTCACTGACTGGGCTTGATGACAAACCAAATCTGCAAAGCATAATATAAGAGACACACATGCACACCCAATGCAAAACACAATATACTATATGTAATAATGCTAAAACACGATGTAGTCCTACTTAACTATTTCCAAAAAAGGAGCAAGGAAAACTACACAAAACAGCTAAAGTAGGACAAAAGGAGGTGGATCTGCTCACCTGTTTGACCTTCTCTTCAAAGTCTGCATCATTGTGGTCTGAAATCATCTGCGCGAGTCGGATCTGCTCTGCGGTAGCCTGTTCCAAGAGAAGAAACATCCAATGTTCGCAACAAACACAAAGGAAAAACTCTTATTTCTCTACATCTTCCTCTAAAATAATTATTATCTGACAAAATTCAACAGCCAGTTTGACATTTTGCTGGTAAAACACATGTACAGATTTAAGCTGGCATCAGCTTCACTAAATAGCACTTGTGCTTTACTGTATTTGCAC